CATTTACCGAGATAAGTCACATCCTGGGTCATAAAACACATTGACCTGAAAGAACTGAGATCACCAAATACGTTCTTTGGGCATAATAAAATTAGAAATCAGTAACAAAAAGATGACAAGAATATTCAGACTTGTGGAAATAACACCTCTGAACAATTTATGGATTGAAAAGAAGCCTCAAGGGAAATTTTAAATTATTTTGAACTAAACAAAAATGAAAACACAGTACATCAAACCTTGTGGGATATAGCCGAAGATGTACCAAGAGGCATTAGTGCATTTACTAGAAGAGATGGTCTTCTACCTTACATAAGCTTCTATCTTATGGAAATAGAAGTGAAGAGCAAATAAACCCAAGTCAAAGAGAGGAAAGGAACTCATAAACATCGAGCAGAAATGAAGTTGAATACAGAAGAAAAAAAGAAAATCAATGAAAACCAAAGCTGTGGGTTGTTGTTTTTTTAAACAAAAAGGATCAGTAAAATTCATAAGCCTATAGCCAGACTAGCAAAGGAAAAAAAAAAGACACAAATTACCAATATCAGGAATGAAGCAGGAGCTATCACTATGATTGCATAGACATGAAAAGGATAGTATTAGATAGTTCTGTGGATATAAATTCAACAACTTAGATGAAATGGACCAATTCCTGAAAAAACAATGTTAGTTTCTTTTTTCTGCTGTAACAAATCACCACTTTGCTCAAAACAATATAGATTTATTTATAGTTCTGGAGGCCAGAATAATGGGGGTCTTACTGGGATAAAATCAAGTTATTGACAGGACTGTGTTCCCTTATGGATGCTGTAGGCAAGAATTCCCCCTTCCATCTTCAAAGCCAGCGGTAGCTGGTTGAGTTCTCTTCACATCTTACTCTGACTTCCTCTTCTGCATTTAAGGACTCTTGACATTACAGTGAACCATATAGATTATCTTCCTGTTTTAAAGACAGCTGATTATCAACTCTAATTCCATCCTCTACCTAAATTCCTCTTTGCCTTGTAATATAATATATTCGCAGGTTCTGGGAATTAGGTTGTGGACATTGCAGAGGGGATGTGATGACAGGCTTTTGTCTGTCACAACCACATATTATCCAGATTCACCCAAGATACCACTTTCCTGACTCATTTCCCTCTCTCCTGTGTCTCCTACCCACACCTGTATTCTCATTTTTGTTTCTATATATTTGCCTATTCCAGGTATCTCATATAAGTGGAATTATACAATATTTGTCCTCTTCTGTCTAGATTATTTACCTTAGCATAATATTTTTAAGGTTCATCCCTGTTGGCCTTAATTGTATTTTGACAAAGTACAAAGGCAATTCAATGGAAAAGAATATTCTTTTCAATGAAGGTGTTGGAGTAGTTAGACATTTATATACAAAAATGTGAGTTTTAACCTACAAATCTCATGTTATACAAAAATTAACTCAAAATGGATCATAGATCTAAGTATAAAACTATAAGAAAATAGAAGATCTTTGTGACCCAGGGTTTGACAATGAGTTCTTAGACATATACCAGATGCACAATGCATAAAACAAAACTTGATAAATTGGGCATCATCAAAACTAAAAACTTTCTTCTACAAAAGGTACTATATTAGAAGAATGAAAAGACAAGCTATAGACCAGGAGAATATATTTGAAAGTCATATAAAGGACTTGTACCCAGAGTATATAAAGAAAACACAATGATCATTAACCCAGTTTTTAAAAGGAGCAAAAGACATACATAGACACCTAGTTGAACATTGTTAGCAACAAGGAAAATAAGTTTAAACCGGGATGAGCTACTCATATCTATTAGAACAGCTAAAATTGAAAAAAACAGCAGTGACAATACCAAGTACTGGCAAGGTCCCAAATACATTGGCTCTCTTATACAGGGCTCATGAGAGTGCAGAATTAAGTACAGCCACTCTGGGGAACAGGCAGAATCTTAAAAGTTACTCATACATTTACCATATACTCAGTCATCCTGTTGCTAGGTTTTTACCTAGAGAACCTAAAACTTATGTTCACATACTTGTACACAAATGTTTATAGTTGTTTTGGTCATAGCTATCAAAACCTGGAGGAATGTCCTTCAGTGGGTAAATGGAAAAACAAATTGTGGTTCAACTGTACTTGGAATACTACTCAGCAACTGAAAGAAATCAAGTATTGATACACTTGTGGATTGGGTTTCCAAAGACCCCCACCCTTTTAGAGATTGCCTAGGACTTACTTGACTCAGTATGTAGTTATACTCATGGCTAAGGTTTATTACGGCAGCAAAATAAGGACACACAGTGAATCATGAGGAAAACACACAGATGGGATCTATATAGGCTTATTGATTATGTGCCCCCCATGGAAAAGTTCACAGATTGGAAGACTCAGTGTTGTTGAGATGTTAGTTCTCCCCAAATAAACCTATAGATTCAATACAACCTTAATAAAAATTTCAGCAGACTTTACATAAAAGTGGACAAGTTGGTCTTCAAAATTATATAGAAATGTGGAGGATTAGAATAATTAAGAAAAGCCTAAAGATTTTAACTACCTGGTTTTAAGACCTAATGTCAGGCTGTAGTGATTAAGACAGTATGGTATTGGCATATAAGGATAGATAAATAGATCACTGTAACATAATAGAGAATCTAGAAATAGACTAACATAAACTTAGTGAGTTTATTTTTGACAAAAGTGCCAAAGCAGTTCAGTGTTAGAAAGTGTCTTTTTAGTTAAATGATGCTGTAACAAGTGGATACTTTTTTGGAAAAAATGAGTCTTGACCCCTCCTATGTCACAATATAAACAAAAACTGAGTTTGATGTAGATTACAGACCTAAATGTGAAAAATAAAAAACAAAGGAGACTATCTTCATGACTGTGGGGTCATTAACCATTAAAGAAAGAAATTGACAAATTGGACTTTCATCAAAATGAAAAACTTCTCATTAAGAGACACCACTAAGAATGTCAAAAGGAAAGCTACAGATGAGGAGAAAATATTTGCCCTACATGAATCTGATGAAAGACTTACATGTAAAATACACAAATAATTAGTACAATCATTAATGCCACAAAAAAATACCAATTTTTAAAAATAGGCAAAATTATGAGTAGGCACTTCACAAGAGGATTATTGGAATGGTCAAGAAACATGAAAAGTTTCACAGCATCATTAGTCATTAGGGAAATTCCTGCTAAGACCCATAGTGAGATAGCAGTGCATACCCAGCACAGTGACTAGGACTGAAAGGATTGATAGGACCAAGAATCGATAAGGTAGAAGAGCTAGAGCCCTCATACAGTGTTGGTGAGAGCAGAAAAGCCTATATATATTTTATTCCTCAATCCCCCTGACCCCATAAACTAGATCAAGATTGAATGCGGTGGTGCTCAAATTCAGATAGCCAAGAATTCATGGGGAAACATGATAAAGTATATATATGTGCTTTCTAAGCAGGATTCTTGGTTGCAAATAACCCGACTTGGTCCCGCTTAAACCAAAAAAGCTGAATACTTTATCTCAGGTCACCCCATTGATGAGTGAGGTAGTTATCAGGTTCAGCTGCAGCCACATTATTGAACTGTGTCTACAGGATTGTGCCTCTGCCGTGTTTTCCTCACAGACCTTGATCACAGCACCTCACGCAGCTGCCAGCACTCGTGCCTCCATGTGTTGGTATTTCTGGTAGTGCCTGTGCCCTCATCCTTGCTCCTCATCCAGAATATGCCAAGCCCTCACACCTCAGCATGTGTCAGTGTCACCCCTCTTTCAAGGCCGAGCTCAAATACAACCTCCATCAGAAGCTCCCTTTCTGATTCTTTGACCTGCATTAGTTTCCTTTCTTTGCTTTGGCTGTCCTTCCATCTGTCCATAGCTAATACCTTGGTTTTCTTTCTTTTACTGTGACATTAAAAACACCTTTCTCATCATTTTACATTCATCTTTGCAGGAATCATCAGTGCAGGGTATTTCTAAGAGGGAGGAATAAATTTCATAAAAATTATTTGCAGAGTCTTGAAGTTCATCTCCTGCAGGTGACTTATTAGTTGTAAGGGGAAACATTGGCCATCCCAGTTACCACTAAGGGGAAAGATGGACGTTGTGCCCCCGGCTGATACCGTTACAGGGGCACAGCATCACAGAGAATCTGGCTGGCCACACATCGCTGCGGTCAGTCAGAAGGAAGAGGCAGACAAAGCCCAAGTGAGGGGCCTTCTGGTTTTTTAATCTTTGTTAAGGGCCTGTATTCTTCTTAAATATGAGTATCACAAAAGAAAGGTTGAGAAGCTGTTCCAGATTAAAGAGACATGATAGCTAAAAGCAAGATGTGATCCTAGACAGGGTCTTCTGCTGGCGGGGAAAAGTGCGACAGAAGGAGCGTTGGGCCAGATAGAAATGGGATGTGGATGGTAGCAAAGATGAAGAATGCTGCATCTATTTTGAATTTTCTGAGGTCGATACCAGTACTGTGGTTACGTAACATAATCTAATTGGAAACACACATTGGAAAACTTAATGGTAAAAATATATGATGTGTGTAAATTAATCTCACACAGGTCAGAAAAACAGAGTAAATGATAAAGCAAATGGAGCAACAATAGGGGTGTTCTTTGTACTGTTCATGTGGACTTTATGGAAAGTTTGAGATTATTCCCAAATAAAAAATTTAAAAGAACAGCTTCCGCTCTTCATTTCAGGGTAGGTGTAAAGAAAAAAAAATGCTATAGAGCAGTGTTTTCAAGAGCGGTGTTCTGTACAGGTGGTGGTTCCGGTGCTGCTCTGCCCGGCTCGCCCTCCCACTCGTGGGCGCTCCCAGCTGGGCTGTTGGCGCGGGAGAGCGTGCAGGAAGGCGGCCTTGCCCCGGTCTGGGATCTCCAACCTGCCCGCCGGGCAGCCCTGTGCTTTGGGCAAGTCACCTGAATACGTGACTCGCCTGCACATCGTCTATTATTATATATTTTATGTTCACCTTTGAAAAGTATATTTTTCTTTCAGCCCAAAATGGAGTTAATCCTGACTGGGAGAAGAAAGTAATTGAATATTTTAAGGAGAAACTGAAGGAAAATAATGCTCCTAAATGGGTAAGCTTACTGCTGTTTGATGGAGAGATGGTTGGGCCAATGTCCAGTCTCAGAGTATGATCTGCGTACAGTTTTAAACCGTACAGCTGACTGTACTGCCTGCTGCCTCAAGTGTGCGAGTGTTAAAAGGCTGTGGTCTCTGTGGCCTTGTTTTCAGCTTTAATCAAAGCAGTTGAATGCTTCCGATATTGGTGCCTCTAGGTGGCAGTACCCAACCACATTACTTTCTAAAACAAAAAAATTGGTTCTTATGAGAGCTTCAATTATCTTTATTATCTTTATTTTTAAAGATTGGCATGTACTAGTTTTTTTCTTTTCTAGTAAAAAATTTTTTAGTAAGGTATTATTGATATTCACTCTTATGAAGGTTTTACATGAAAAAACAATATGGTTACTACATTCACCCATATTATCAAGTCCCCACCCACACCCCAGTGCAGTCACTGTCCATCAGTGTAGTAAGACGGCATGTACTAGTTTTAAGAGGAGAGTTCAAAAAAGCAAATGCCTTTGTGCTACTTGAAAAGTGTTCTAGAGGAGGAGCATCTTTTCACATTATAGTCGAATGTCATTACACAAACTTGCTAGAACTCAGGAAGTTCTCTTGTCCAGCAGTTACGTTACACTGACTTTGAGACATCGGCTCCTTAATGGCGCTTGGGGTATGTGTGCGTGTGCGCGTGTGTGTTTTGGAGTTTGGATCTGGGTGTATAGTCTGTGTATATGTGCTTTATGTTTTATAAACAAGATTTGATTGACTTGTTTTCCTTTAAGGTACCATCACTAAATGAAGTTCCCCTTCATTATTTGAAACCTAACAGTTTTGTGAAGTTTCGCTGCATGGTTCAGGATATGTTTGACCCTGAGTTTTACATGGGAGTGTATGAAACAGTCAACCGGAACACAAAAGCACGTGTATGTGGTACTTTCTTCATGAAACTTGGTTTATAATTGGTAGTATTAGTATTAATTTTGTCCTTGCATTGTTTATGGTAGATTTGATTTGGATATACTAATAAAATACTGTTATCCTTTGTTTTGGGTCATAGGTTCTTCATTTTGGCAAATACAGAGATGTAGCAGAGTGTGGGGTATGTATCCTTAAGATATATACATTTTAATAAGCATTTTTTTCCTAAGCAGAAATTTATATATAAAAAACAAATAAAAAATAAAATTTATTATTTACCTTTGGTTGATGTTAAAGTTATTTATCTTGTGTGTAAATAAGTTCTGAGAAGTCATGTTAAGTGTTTTCCTTTTGAGAGTTTCTCTGATAATATTTCCAATTTTCTAAAAATTTCTTAAAATGTGGTATATTGCAAATGACAAAACTGATTCCTTCACTCACCTGTGGAGTATAATAACAAAGAAAAACTGAAGGAACGAAACAGCAGCAGACTCACAGAACCCAAGAATGAACTAACAGTTACCAAAGGGAAAGGGACTGGGGAGGGTGGGTGGGAAGGGAGGGATAAGTGGAAAAAGGGGCATTACAATTAGCACACATAATGGGGGTGGGGGTGCACAGGGAAGGCAGTACAGCACAGAGAAGACAAGTAGTGATTCTAGAGCATCTTACTACACTGATGGACAGTGACTGTAATGGGGTATGTGGTGGGGACTTGATAATGGGGGCAATCTAAGAAGCACAATGTTACTCATGTAATTGTATATTAATGATACCAAAATAAAAAAATGTGAAGGAGAAAAAAACTGATACCTTTCTTTTCCCAGTATCTTTATACTTGGTTAAAAAAATTACAGGTTATTATAAATTCTTTTAAAATGAAAGGGGAAGATTAACTGAGGGCTTAACACTTGCTTAATTAAATTGGTTTAAATCCTGCCCTTTTTTTCCTGGGATGAAAAAACTTTTTAATAAATTTAAGCTTTGATAAAAGGAGGTAATAGAAACTCTTACATATCAATAGTGGCAGAAGTCAGAACACTGGATATAATAATTGTTGTGAAAGGGATAGTCTTGAGATGATAACTTAACTAGACAAGCAATTAGAGAGAAACGAGAGTCTGTCTACTTTTTTTATAGCTTTTCTGAGAATAGATGAACAACATGCAGTATTAAGTTAAATTTCATTCAGACACCTACCTGTTCAATATGCCTGCCACATAACTGGGAAAAGTTTAGAATTATCTTTCATTTAATAGTAAAATAAGATTATCAGCATGTCAAAGTGTATTCATCACAAATGTCTCCCATGTTTTGCTTTTTGTGTTTTTCATGGGGTTCTGTTGAAACACAGACTGTAATTGTCAGTTGCTGGAAAAACAACAAGTGTCGCAGGTTCTCTGCAGATCCAGAATGTCATTTGATCAGGTTATGTGGGGCTCTTTACTCTCTGGGAGTCGGCCTCCTGCGTAATTACCGAAACTTGAAGGGATTCCCATACAAACCCCAGTGCCAGCCCGTTCATTCACAGGAACTGTTGTTCTGATTAAAGTGCTCTAGTTCAGTGGGCCAATCTGGACAGAAGAATATCCCTAACTTGGAAGGTTGCCACAAAGATTATATTGAACAGAAGCGTAACTTCCTACAGCTATTCAGAGTGACAGACTCAGGAAGGTCGGGCCTCCTCTGTCCCAGCATGTGAGGGTCTTCAGGTCTCCCAGCATTGGTTTCCACTAGTGTTTCCATGAGCAAAAATGTGGTGCCAAGTCCAATCAGGCTTTGTAAATGCTACCACATTCCTTGTCTAAGGAGCCCTTAGGCATGTGAGGCTAATATGCTAATACACAGCCTTTTTTAGTGTATGGTAATGCAATAATCTCAGCCTATGGAAATGAGAAAATAAAATAGCTGCAGCTGTCCATCTGTGACACAACCAAAGGCAGAGAGAGTTTGTTACTGTCTTGCTAAAGAGTCCTGAGGAAAAGCAATGTATACCTGAAAAAGGGGACTTTGGGCCTAGAAAGAAACAAACAGAAAATCCAGCATGTACATGTCGTCTCGGGCTCAGATTTTATGTCTCTTGGGTGGTTTATTTCCTCTCTACAAAATGGATTATACATTTTATTTTACTTTTAAGGGGATTTTTTTTACCATAAAAGTAATACGTGTTTATTAACGTAACTTTTTAATGATACTTCTTGGGTCCTTTGTACCTCTTACTGTATTCTAAGTATATTTGAAATAAAGAACATGTCTTTTCTAGGGAATGATATCTGATTCTTAAATCTCATGTCACAGCTATATCATAATGAGTATTTCATTAAATTCCTATTTTATAGGCTGAATCTGATAGTTTTCTATGAAAGAGACAGTGGGATCACAATGTGCTTATTGTAAGTCTTTGGAAAAAACTAATAACATCTTATTTATTCAAAAGGATTTATTTTGTAACCAAGTGCTATGTGTTAGGGATTTCAGGGAAGGTAGTATATTGATTATTGTGTGTGAGATGATTTTATGTTAGTTTTCTTGTAAAATATGAGTGATAGTTTGAATTTAGTTTGGATTTACTTGTTAAATAAGTTAACTCTTAATGTGAAATATTTACTATGGCTTTATAAATAACATGAAAATGTGGTTGCTAATCAAAAAAAAAATTTTTTTTTCCTAATAAAATGTTTAAATACATTTTTGTATACATTACAGCCTCAACAAGAAGTTGATATAAACTCTCCACGAACTACCACTTTGGAAAGACAGACTTTCTATTGTGTTCCAGTGCCTGGGGAATCTGTGTGGGTAAAAGAAATATCCTTTTTTGGAACTTTCTTGAGTTAAATGGTTCCTGATTATATTTCCTTAATTGAATAGACCACAATTTGGATTTTGAGTTTATAAGAACTTAGTCTTTTTACCCCAATGAAGTTAGCTAGTAAATGGTTCTGTTGTAACCATTGTCCTGTCCCAGTTTCTTTCACTGTAGCTTCATTTTACCTATTCTTGTATATCATACAAATCAGTCATATAATATAGAGTCTTTTGTGTCTTGATTTCTTTCATTCAGTATAATGCATTTGAGATTCATCTGTGTGTGTGTATCAGTAGTTCATTCCTTTTTATTGCTGATGGTATTTTGTTTATTTGTCTCCACTTGTTGAGCAGTTAGGTTGTTTCCAGTTTTGGACCTGGCATTTTCTTTGTAAGAACATTTTCAGTTCAGTTTTTGGACCGTTTTTGTTTGTGTGTCAGTTGTGATAAGTTGTGTTATTTAATCTTAGTATTTGAATTTGTGTCAATTAGCATAAAGCTTTTCATAGTATTTTCTTATTTTCTCTGGGGGATATCGAGCAATGATCTCTTCATTTCCAGTAACGTTAAGTTTTTTTCTTTTATCCTTGATCAGTGTTCCTGGTTTGTCAGAGAACTAAATTTTTACTTAAATTTTCTATTTTTTTTCATTGATTTCTGCTTTTATTATTTCCTTCCTTACTAGTTTAGTTTTAATTCTTTCAAAGTGGGTGCTCAGATTATTAATTTCAATCTTCCTTCTTTTCTAATATTAGCATTTAGGGCTTTAAGTTTCTCTTACATCACTGCTTTAGTTGTTTTCTGCAAATTTTGATGTTTTTACTGTCATTCAGTTCAAAATATTTTCTAATTTCCTTTGTGATCTCTTCTTTCATTCTCCATCATTGCAACAGCTTGCTTCCATTTATCCCCTCCCATTTTCTGTTCTGATGTTGTGCTATTACTTGACTTGTGCTTATAAGGCCCACCATGTATTATTATTTTAAAATAGCTATAAGTAGATGTTTTCTGCATAAATGAAGAAAAAAGAAAAAACATCTTTTGTATATTTGTGTACATATTTACCATTATCTCTCTCTGTTCTTTATTTTTTATTGGAAATCATTTTACTAACTTTTTTTTTGTTTTAATATTAACTTGTTGGTGATGAATTCTCTCAGCTTTGGCTCAACTGGAAATATCTTTATTTCACCTTTATTTTTGAAGGATATTTTCACTGGATATAGAATTCTTGACTGACAGGTAGATCCCTCTCCAGCACTTGAATGATACTGCATTGTCTTCTGGCCTCCACTGTTTTTTGGGAAGGCTAGCCATCATCTTATGGTTCCCCCATATATACCATCTCCTTGGCTGCTTCTAGTGTTCTCTCTCTGATTTTTGGCAGTTTGACTGTGATGTGCCGTGGTGTGAGTATTTTTGTGTTTATCTTACTTGGGCTATTTTTTTTTTAAGTTTAGGATCTATGTGTGGATATTTTTCAGATTTCAGTCTTTATTCCTTCATATATTTTCCTGTCCAAGACTTTCTTGTCTCATTTTCTGGGATTCCAGTCACATGATCATTAGACTACTTGTTACTGTCTTCTGTGTGACTGAGACTGTCTTTGTTTTTTCCATTTCAGATGTTTTTTAGTTCTAGATTTTTCATTTGATGCTTCTTCATTGTTCCCGTTTCTCTGCTAGTCTTCATGTTTGACTCATATCCATCTTTTCTTTTAAAATTGTAAATTTTATCATTGTGTTTCAGTGAGCTTGTGTGCTAATTCCACTATCCAGTTTATCTCTGGGTTTATTTCTGTTGACTATTTTTAACTCTAGTTATAAGTCATATTTTCTTGCTTCTTCATATATAACTAATAATATGTTATTGTATGCTGATATACAGCATTACAGAAATTTTTATCTGCATTTCAAGAATGTTGTGTTTGTTCTGACAGGCAGGTGATTTAAGTGGATCGCTTTGACCTTGTAAGGGCTTGGTTTGGGGCTTTGTTAGGGTGGGTACGGAGTAGCCCTTCTGTGTAGGACACAGTCCTTACTTAGGAGATGTGCTGTTTCTGGGTCTCCCCTGAGTGCCTTAGATGTTCAGCAGGATCCGGTGCTAGTATTGTATGACTTCCAGCATCTTCCTTTAGTTCTCAGCCATTTTAACAACCAGCACCTGTTCTCTGCTAGGCCTCAAGGAATCTTAACTTGCACATCCACAGCTTTGTATTCAGCCAAAGACCCGAACGCAATCTGCACAGATTTCTGGGTCTTTTACCAGCAGCTCCTTCCTCTCTAGTATTGTTCTGCAAATTCCAGTTGCTCAGTAGCCCTGAACTGTGTGCTGTTCTCTCTACCCAGTAAAAGCAGGGCCTCTACTTCTCTTTATTGCAGTTTGGGAAATGGCCCCCAAGAGAGTTGGGGGAGAATATGGAGTTTCCCTGGTATCTCATTCTTTTCATTTAAAGATCATAACCTTATGCTCCTTGCTATCCAAAGACATACTATTTTCTGTCCAGTTTTTCATCTCTTTACAGCAGGGTATGGGGGCTAAACTTTTACTCTCATGATCAGAACTGGAAGTTCAGCGTTTTTTTTAAAAATACATTTTTATTTTAACCAAACTGCCAAACTAGTAGTCGTTTAATAGTCATATAATTAGCATAACTCAGGCTATTCTGCTGCTGATGGTAGTCTTTTCTTAACCTTTCATTTAACGCTTATGTTAATGCAAACCAAGCTCGAGTCAGTCCTTCAACATCCTACACTCCCAGTCGCCACAAGAGGAGTTACGAAGATGATGAGGACATGGACCTACAGCCTCATAAACAGAAAGACCAGAATGCAAGTGCCAGACAAGCAGGTAGTGTGTGCAGCAGGCTTCCTGCAGACTTCTACTCTCAGTAGATTGCTTTCCAGAACTAACTGTATGGTACACCTCTAGATTTAGGAGCTGGAGTGATTTGACAACCTTGCTTTTAAGTTTATCAGGATTATGGACAGTTCCAAAGGATTTTATAGGTCAGACCGCGTCAGTCTGAGCGATGAGGCTTTGCTTAGTGAGAAGGGGCTGCTCTACTCTCAGGTTTTAGGAGCCTCCAGTCTCAGTGGTTAGCCGGGAAAGGTTGTTTCTCTTCCTTCCTATTTATTTTTACCTCAGCTCTTACATAATATGGAAGTATATATAGTACTGTATTCTAAAAATGATTTATTTGTATTTGAAAACATCCTTATTTTCTTTTTGAAATAATGATACTTTAATTAGTAAGAGTGAAAATACCAGAGGAAAACATGAAATGGTGATATACTAGTACTTATTCCTAAAGTTTAAAGCAGATAATCCTTAGACTAGTCACAGTTCTGTTTGTTGTATTTACATACATTTGTGGTGGTTTATTTCTTAAAACACAACTGATTCTGATTCAAACAAGGAAACCAAAAGTGGAAATTTCCTAAGAGCATGACAGAATTGCATTAGTAGCATATATCACCATTCACAGTTTTTATGAGCAGTGATTTTATTATGGCAGGTGGACCTTTGTCTTTATTTCTCCTGTTAGTTCAGTCACGTCTCTTTAGCACCTTTAGTCAGAGGGCAGGTTAAAGAGGGAGGAGAGGAGGTAAAACAAATTAGTCTTGTCAACTGGTGTCTGTAAGACTGGGATAGGCAAATACAGAGAGGAGCCAAGATGGTGGCGTGAGTAGGGCAGCGGAAATCTCCTCCAAAAACCATATATATTTTTGAAAATACAACAAACACAACTACGCCTAAGAGAGAGACCAGAGGATACAGTACAACAGCCAGGCTATATCTACATCTGCGAGAACTCAGCATCTCACAAAGGGAGTGAGATACAAGCTGCGACTCAGCAGGACCTGAGTGCACCCCCAACACCAGCGCTCCAGCAGGAGGAGAGGAGTCAGAATGGGGAGGGAGTGGGAGCCCAGGGCTGCTAAATAACCAGCCCTAGGAATCCGCACCAGGAGCGCAGACACACATTGCACGGTGTGCTGGATATTAGGGAAATGGAAAAGTAAAATCTGTGAGGGGTTCCCGCAGCCGGCTCCCCCGGACAAAAGAAAAGCGAGTGCTTTCTGAAAGTCTTAAAGGGACAGGGGCCCCACAGCTGGATGGAATCGTGCCGGCGCACTCAGCCCAGCGGCTGGGAATCCCAGGGAACTCTGGGGGCCCTAACCCCAGGGTGGCAGTGCAGCTCTGAAGCCCCTCATGGTGATAAACAGCCTACCGTTCATATCCCCCAGTGGTGTGGCCCCGCCACAGCAGCCGAGCAGCCTGGGAGCGGCCCAGCCACAGCAGCCACCCGGAGCGTCCTCCCAGCATGCAGCCGCCCGGGCTAGACCCAGGGCCACCGACGGTGCGCAGCTCCCCAGTGCAGGCAGAGGAAGCCGGGCAGGGCGTGAAGGGGCACCATTCTCGCAGGAGAGCACACCGGGTGCGCATGCCTCTCCCCGCAGGGCTCTGAGCTGCCCGGATGGCTGCTCCTGGTGTGTGGATAACTGACACAGGCAGTGGATAGGGCCAGGGCAACCAGCAAGCAGGAAGGGACTTTGTTCTCCCAGCTGACACACACGCCACCTGCCTACAACTACCTCTATCACCATGAAAAGGCAGAAGAATTTGGTCCAGTCCACAATCACCCAGACAACCCCTGAGAGAGGGCCTGGGGAGATAGATATAACCAATCTTCCTGAAAAGGAATTCAAAATAAAGGTCATAACCATGCTGATGGACCTGCAGAGAAATATGCAAGAGCTAAAGGATCAAGTTAGAAGGGAGAATACAGAACTAAAACAATCCCTAGAAGGACTTAAGAGCAGACTGGATGAGGTGCAAGAGACTGTTAATGGAATAGAAACCAGAGAACAGGAATACAGAGAAGCTGAGGCAGAGAGAGATGAAAGGATCTCCAGGAATGAAAGAATATTAAAGAGAACTGTGTGACCAATCCAAACGGAACAATATTTGCATTATAAGGGTACCAGAAGAAGAAGAGAGAGAAAAAGGGATAGAAAGTGTCTTTGAAGAAATAATTGCTGAACACTTCCCCAAACTGGTGGAGGAAATAGTCTCTCAGACCATGGAAGCCCACAGATCTCCCAACAGAAGGGACGCAAGGAAGACAACACCAAGACATATAATAATTAAAATGGCAAAGATCAAGGACAAGGACAGAGTATTAAAGGCAGCTAGAGAGAGAAAAAAGGTCACCTATGAAGGAAACCCATCAGGCTATCATCAGACTTCTCAACAGAAACCTTACAGGCCAGAAGAGAATGGCATGATCTATTTAATGCAATGAAACAGAAGG